CTCTCTCTCTCTCTCTGACAGCCTGTCAGTATCGTCTCATGCAGCTCACTGATCCAGTAATGAGTGATCCGACAGTGAAGAATAAATATATGTATAACTAGTTTAGCTTGTTCCAGAGGTAGATAAAATAGCTAAGTGTGTTAGGTCTAACTCTTAGTGTGTGTTTTGCTTCGCTCACCGGTCCGTCACAGCGGGTGGAGCTGCAGGATTTCTGCTTCACACACGTTGCATACCGCTATTTTTTGTCATTTTCGGACACCTTAAAATACTGCCAGACTGGTGAAGCCATTTTGGCGAGCTTGTTTTGCCGCGCACAGAGGAAAGTGTCATGTATTTTACGTCATCCTTTTACGTCATGCGATCGGCATTTTTAGAGAGCACCGATCGATCGGTAGAGAGTGAGTATCGGCCGATATCGATCGGTGGCCGATCGATCGGAGCATCTCTAATTATAATGGCTAACACTGTCACTGCTGTTGTTTTTCAGGTACTGAGTTTGAGGGAGCCATCATCGCCCTCTTCCATCTCCTGGCCACCCGCACAGACAAGGTGCGCGCCCTGAGAGAAGCCTTCTACAGACAGAACCTGCCTAACATCTTGAACCTCATCGCCACCGTCTTCGTGTTTGCTGTGGTCATATACTTCCAGGTGAGCTGCCACTAAGTCTTACCTGATGTTATTGCACTGAAAAAATTTGGATGGCATTACTGATGGCGCGCTTCTTTACCTCACCAGGGCTTCAGGGTCGACCTGCCCATCAAGTCAGCACGCTACCGTGGTCAGTACAACACCTACCCCATCAAACTGTTCTACACCTCCAACATCCCCATCCTGCAGTCTGCCCTCGTCTCCAATCTCTACGTCATCTCTCAGATGCTCTCAACTCGTTTTAGCGGGAACTTCCTCGTGAACCTCCTAGGAACCTGGTCTGTAAGTATGACAGTGGAGCTGCACCTCCAGCACGTTTATTCAATTAAATTCAACGGTACACTATTATTAGAATTGGTGACACTTCTGTTGTGCGTATAATGCTTGAGACAATAGATATATCCAGTCTTAGTCTATGTTTAACTAGAGGAGATTGAATTACATATTATGCTGCATTTCCACCGCACAGTATATACAGCTTGACTTTTTTGATTTTAAACTAGCAAGAGTTTTGGATAATATCTTGTACTTGCTTTTGGTACCACTACGTCGACAAGGTTCCAAGTAATCTGAGCCGATACTAAAGGGTGAATATAAAACCCTGGAGACCATGGCCCTACACAAATCTACAATTATTAAATAGTAAAGCTACCCTCTTAAGCGGTCGCAATTTTTTGTGGAGTGCAGACATTCCTCTTTTATGGTGAAAGTATTCAACAAGTTTTCAGCTGATGTCATGCAGTTGAACATGGCGTTGTTAAGGTGACCAGCTGAGAATCCCTCTTACACTAAGGGGAACAATCCTTAGTGGGAAACAATACAGAAATAGAACGGGTACCAAAAGTCAGTTTAGCTGAAACCATGTGGTATTTTCATAAATGGGGGAACGGTTGGGTTCTGTCTCTCGTGTTGGACCTGCATCATCTTATTTATAATATCTCATTGTGATTAGGATGCAACGAGTGGTGGACCTGCTCGAGCCTACCCTGTGGCCGGGCTCTGCTACTACCTCTCCCCTCCGGAGTCGTTTGGCTCGGTCCTGGACGACCCGGTTCACGCTGCCATCTACATCGTCTTCATGCTCGGCTCCTGCGCCTTCTTCTCAAAGACCTGGATCGAGGTCTCAGGATCTTCTGCTAAAGATGTAAGTCTTGTGCTTTTACAAAAGCATTGACAACTTTGCTTTGCATCAATCCCGCATGAAATTAACCCTCATGTATCACTCTGTGCGTGTCAGGTGGCGAAGCAGCTGAAGGAGCAGCAGATGGTGATGAGGGGACACAGAGAGACCTCCATGGTGCATGAGCTGAACAGGTACAAAGCATTCTGAGTCTCAGATGTCATGTGTGTTACCTGCAGCATATGGAAAGTTGTCCTTCAGAATATTTTTTGTATTGACGCTGGATTTATTATTCACAGGTACATCCCCACAGCTGCTGCCTTCGGTGGCCTCTGCATAGGAGGGCTGTCCGTCATGGCTGACTTCCTGGGGGCCATTGGTTCGGGGACAGGAATCCTCTTGGCTGTGACCATCATCTACCAGTACTTTGAAATCTTTGTGAAGGAGCAGAGCGAAATGGGCAGCATGGGAGCACTGCTCTTCTAAAAAATACCAACCTTCGGACACACATAAGACACAAAGCATCCACCCGCCCCCCACCATTGTTTTAATTTTGCAATTTTTTGCAATTTCGCACAATCAGTTCATTTTGCAGCTGGAATAGGTTTTTTTTTTTCTCCGCTATCTGTGTTTTCCACCATTACTTTTTTAGCAGTTGAAACCGTTTTCCCAGCAGGCTGCCCAAGTCCCCACTGACTGTCTTAAAAGCTGAAAAATGCCTAAAAGCACATCAGTGTGAGGAGCTGTCTTTGATTTACCCTCGGGCATTGTTCATCGCAGCATGTTCAAGGAACACTAAGACAGGACGACGTGATAGTGCTAATTTTAAGCTGAAAGCACTGCCTGGACCTTTTGGGGGAGTTGAAAGAAAGCCATGTCAGGTTCATCTCAAAGTAGCAATCATGGCTGAGGTTTCTGGGAGCCTATAGTAGGGTTTGAACAGTATAAATAAAATATGCTTGCACTCCTGATGAGGTCTCTGGTAATCTCAGACAAAGCCGTCTATGGTTTTATTTTTTGGATATTTTTAATGATGGACTATGTTTATATTCACTCTGGTCTTATGTAGGGCAAATGTGTTTGTCCTCTGTCTGGGTCCTCAAAGGAAAGTGTGTGTCTGTGTCGTCATGCTCTTTTATTCCCAGACTGTATTGCTGCACAAAATTGCCCGACGTGGTCGGGGATGAGGGTGGGTTTGATAGGGATGAGAAAGGGTTTCATTTGTGGTTTTTACTTTATGTAACAGACATTGTTATTAAAAAAAAAAACAAGATTTTTTCCATACATAGCTGAAAATGTGTTTTTTATTCCTATTATCCCCCTTTGTGTGCTTTGATCCTGCATGTTCTGTGACCAGCTTGGTGACACAACACACACGTTACTGATCTCAAGATTTGTGTGCACTGATGTACCCTCTAGAGATGAGATAGTTTTCTAAGCCATTGTATTGTGATTTATAACCTGGCGTGTAGGTTAATTAGGTTGTACCTTGCACTTAATTCCACCAGAGGTCCCTGTAGAAGTAGTTGATATGACCACACTTCAAATAGTTGAGAGTAAAAAAAATAACTAGAGTGATTTTGCTATTGAACGTGTATGTTCTGATGCATCAGTACCTCTTTACATTTTACTCCAATTTTTATATCAAATCTTTACTGACAGAGCTTTAATGTATACAATGAAAACTGTAATCAATAAGATGGATGAAGAAAACGAACCAGAATTGCAGTTATCTATAGACTCTTAGAACTCCATTTAGAAATCCTTTGATCTGAAGAAAGAGAATCATAAAATATATGAGGCAGTGCATTGATAACATTTAATTGGGTGATAGTTAAGAATACATAACATTTAAACATTAAACATTGGGGAGGCTGTGGCTCATTGGGGTGGTGCATTGATCTTCAGGGAAGCTCTGGTTCCAACCAAGACTCTTCACCCCATATTGTTCCTGTGGGGATTGCCCACAGTATTGAGTGTATGTAAGTTTGCTTTGGATAAAAGCATCTAACAAGTGAACATGTAATGTACATGTTGACCCTAATTCACCTTTGCATCTCATTGTCCCTTACAATAAAAAATAGAATATGTGTAGGGTTAGTTATCACATATATTTTGCCATACCAAACTGTTTTGGCAGACACGAATCCCCTCCGGAAGGGTCGAACAGACAATACATCAAGTAAAAAATAAGAATATAATGCATAATACAATTATAAAAAATATATAAAGACATTTAATATGAACTTTATATATTTTGTAAAACGACATAAATAAAGTGATAAACGTGAGTATTTTGTACAACATTCAATATAAAACGTGAAAAAATATAGCATTAAAAATGTTTTGCAACAAAAAAAAATTACTGACTTACTTCACATCTTGACACTAAACCCAGTGTTCTTGTTTATTATATTTCTTGTGCATGCTATTTTTCAGAACATTTGTAAGTTATACTTTACACATTTGGTGGGGATAAATTGGCCATTTCAGAAACATGTCCCCAGCTCAAATGAACGCCTATGTTGTTAACAACAGTTGCCATATAAATCATGACGGTCGAGTGACGTCATAATTGTGCGACCACATGTGACCGAAGGGTCAGAGGGGTAACGGGGGGGCCGTTTGGAAGCCGGGTATCTTAGTCAGAATGAGACGGTTTCACTTAGTAATTTCTGCTGTCACACCGGTCATCTTCTACCACGGAGGGCAACGGACTGAACCAGTGGCAGACATGTCGTACTGCAAACAGGAAGGTAATCTAAATCTCTTCATTCATGTTGTCACTCCATGTCCATGGCTTGGCAATGTCACCGAGTTAGCCACCATGCTAAGGCTAACTTCTAGAAGAAGCCGGATATTTCAGTAAGTTAGCTAACAGTTACATGGCTGGTAGCGAGGAAGCTGCATGCATTGAATGAGGCTTATTATTAAGGGTGTTCGCATTGTTGTGATAAAACACATTGGTCATTGTCGTAATCTGATCGGACACCTTTGATAGACGTTAGGTGGAAAGGGCTAGCTCTGAGCCTGGTGGCACGTCCAGGGCTATCAGTTGACAGGTCAGGTTAAACCAGGTTACTGGCACAGTGCCCCCACAGGGGTCACTGTTACCAGCTTCGTGAACTGGTTTTCTACTTCTACTCGAAATATAAACTAGTAGAGGGCATTTTTAGTTTATTTTTGTACAGTTATTTATTTATCATACATTTGAACTGACTCTGGTTGCTCTTGCTGTACATAGCAAATGAAGACAATGATATAATCTTGAGATGGGATCATAGCAACGCCAGTAAAGTCGAGGAGGAAATGTCGTCTCCCCACTCCTTTTCCCCACTTACTTCCGGTGCCCTTGCTCTGTCTGCCACACCCATTTCCAAACTGAAGGCTACAACATTAATTTGTATTTGAGCTACACACCTGTTAAGTCCTGTGAGTGTGTCTTTCATGGGGTGTACAAAAATATGTCCAGAGGAGAGATGACAAATGTCACTTTTACCAACAGGTGAAGTCTGTCATTTAATAACGCTTTCTGCAACTTTGTCATATCTCAAAAAAACATGTAGGAATCTATAAACCCATGTTTGTTGATGCTGAATTCTTGTCAACCTCTCCAAGATTTAACAAGTCAAATAGGGCTGCAGTAACTTTAAAGGCAACTCCCTATGAAGATTCCAACATTACACCTAGTTTAGCATCTCAACACTGGATAACTGATCCAGAGATCAGACTGGATTTTAAATGGTACTGATGCTTTTTTAGGACTTTTCACATTTACTTGTTATGTTATTGGTTGTTTTTCAGTATAGAGAATACTTATTTTTACTGTTTAAAGGTGGGGTAGGTAGTTTGAGAAAACCGGCTCGAGATACACTTTTTGTTATATTCCATGGAATGCTCTTAACATCCCGATAGCAATGAATATCTTAAGTGCTTTGACAAAAAATCCATAAAAAAATGTCCTCTGTTGAAGCCGTAAAACTGTAAAAAGCACGACCAATCATTTTAGCCGGCCCGGCTAAAATAACTGGATGGCCTACCTGCCTGTCAGCCTTCCATCTGTGCAGATTTTTTCCGGTTGTGTATTTTCAAATCCTAGCGCACTCGAGCTGGTTTCTCCAAAATTACCTACCCCACCTTTAAGTTATTGATACCTTGCTTGTCATTAATACTGTATCAGTTATGTTTTATATTATCTGCCATTTTTATACATCTTTGTAAAACACATTGTTACTTGGTTTTTAAGTGCTATATGACAAATCCATGATTTTGTTATTTGTTTTTGTTATTAAAGGTAAGGATCGCATCATCTTTGTGACCAAGGAGGACCATGAGGCACCCAGCAACGCTGAGCTCATTGCAGATGACCCCGATGATCCTTATGAGGAACAGGGTTAGTCATTGTGGAAAAACAGGATCAGACTTCCAAACATTACCTCATACAAGTATTCTTTTAACTTACTTCCTTCTGCTTTCCTTTCCTTAAGGTCTGATTTTGGCTAATGGAGACATCAACTGGAACTGCCCGTGCCTTGGCGGCATGGCCAGTGGACCGTGCGGCTCTCAGTTTAAAGAGGCCTTTTCCTGCTTCCATTACAGTAAGGAGGAGCTGAAGGGCTCCGACTGCATCGACAACTTCCGCGGTATGCAAGAGTGCATGCAGAAGTACCCCGAGCTCTACCCTCAAGAGGAAGATAAAGAAAGCTCCTCCGAAGCAGAGTCCAACTCTGGTTCTGGTTCTGCTGCCCCGACTGAGGCTCCGCCTCGCCCCCTGAAACTGACTCTCTCCCTGCTGCTGCTGCTGCTGATGCTACACCTGCTGCTGATGCTACACCTGCTGCTGATGCCTCACCTGACAGCGCATCGCTCACAGAAACCCCGAGTGCCAGCTAAGGTCCACCAGTGCTCATCCAGACTTCTCTGTGTCCAATCACTGCCCGGCAGAACTGACTCTCCAGGAGGAGCTCTGATTGGCCTCTTCACCTGATTAAGCCCACAGACAGAGAGGACTTACTGACATAGCTCTGATTCTAATGGGCCATATTTACAGGCAATCAGTGAAGGACTTTGTGAATGCAGATGAACATAGCGTATGTACAAAGTATAGGCTGCTTTGTTTCACTGGCACTCAAAGATCATTGAAGAATATGATTTAATGACAGCGGGCTGAACTGCAGGCACATCAGTGAAAGAGTCCCTTTATAGGCAATTGGGATTTAATTTCTTGTGTGTTATCCTGTTAATGTTGACAGCCCAGAAATATACAGCACCGGCTTCGATTCATTATGCAATTTGATAGTAATCCAAGCAGGAATCACTTAATCTTTTGATTGGAGCTTCTTTTTCTTGTTTGTGTTACTGCAGTTTAACATTTATTTCCCTTCCTTTATTCTCTTACTAAAAAGACAGAATGCCCTTTAATTGGTAAAAAAAAACAAGGCTTCTGTTTGGGTAAAATGAAGAGAGGTTTTTAGCTGCGTTTGTTGACATCTTGTAAGAACTTCAGGGTTTCCATCTACATTAATTGGCATATGGAAAGTTGTTGTCATCTTCATAATTGATACTGTATCTGGCCAAGACCAAAGTGGTTTGTTACATTTTACTGTCGGTGCATAAATGTTTTTTGTTGTCTGAACACTGTCTGGACTCTGCTCTGATCACCATTCAGTGACCTTCCTCTAAAATACTTGATCTGTGTTTCTCAAACATGTCCAGATTAAAATGATTTGTGGAAAAATCAGATGTTCCTGTTTTCGTATGAAGACAAAGCCTTC